TGCTTACATGTGAACTCAAGTTTAGTCAAAAACCAGAAAAATCTGGCTGAGTTACAATCAAATAAAGTGGTCTAACAAAATTAAACAAACTACTCCTCCTTATTTCTTATTTCTTATGGTAAAAAAGTGGATCATTGGATAATGCAGTTAAAGAGTTTTCATTGGCTTCCCCATCTGGGTTATGAGTCATTATACCATGCGCGCTTGAAGACCAGTTAAGCCAAAATTGTTATTGAACATTGTAACATTCCGTTAAATTTGGGAAGCTTTATCTATGTTTTCGATCGTTTTGAATAAAACAATTACTCCACTCGCGCTTCTTGGATATCAGATGATTATAGCCAACTCGGCCATACGGGCCTCGTTTGCAACATCGCGCTCATAGAATTATTGTTAACAATTCAACGATACTGAATGAAATAAACTATTGCAAGCATTGCTATAGTTATATGAATATCTTGAAGGAAACAATTTGTATTTTTAATCCTATCCTGAAAAATCGAAAACTGTCATGCGACAAGCTAAAACTAGAATTTCCCTTTAGGTTAAAAAAAAATTGACAATGAAAGTGGGAACGAGAAAGCACGATATCCAACAATGCACGTGGTGGAGAGGATCGATGGACTCACTGATCCATACACGTCGAGACGACAGGGCTGAATAACGAAATGTTACGTCAGAGGGTATGCTGTCGACAACACGGAATCAAGCATGTGAAGTTTAAAATTTAGCGAATTAGCGGAAAATAATAAGGGTTGGCATTTAAAACCGTGGCATTTTGTTGTCGTCAAAGGCATTTTCCTATTCCCATGTTTTTAAGGAGAAAATAAACTTTCGAAAATTTTTTAGGGGGTTTTTGGAGTTTGTTTTGTAAAAAAAAAAGAAAAAAGAGACGGCGAGAAAAACAACGCCTTGAAGCAACAGAACGGAAGATCAACCATGTAAACGACTCAAAATCCGTTTTCTGCGGCAAAGCCTAGTGCGTGCACAGACCTTATTCAGCTCTGTCCGTCTAGACATGATGAAGTTCATGTTAGTAATATTTGGATGGTTAATGGACGCGCCTGTAGTATCCCTGAGTAAATCATATTCATTGTACACATTATTTGCTGAGTGTAATGATGACAGTTATTATTTTGTGATTCCTTCATTACTATTCCATTTTAATCAAACATTTTTTCAGCGTCTATTTCAAAAAATAAATTTTTTCGCCCAAATAGTCACACACCAAAATACGACCATCAGGTGTTGTAGCTATTGCTTTCGGATTTGTTAGCGCAGTAACAGTTTTGCCAACAAAGCGACCTTCCATTGTAAACTGCTGAATGCGTCCACTGTTAAAGTCACACACCAAAAGACTGTGATGGTCGCCATATTTCTCAATACACAAACCCCATGGAGATGAAAACTGTCCATCTGCTTTACCTTCTTCTCCAATCTTGTACAAGAACTTCCCTGAAATGTCAAACACTTTCAAACAATGGTTTTTAGGGTTAGATACAATGAACTTGTTTTTGTGATAAATGCATCCACAAGGTACGTTAAGTTCTCCAGGGCCGTCCTCTCTAACTTTGAACACGAATCTACCATCTTTATTCAAGACCTGGATTCTGTTGTTACCGTAATCCGCTACGACAATATGTCCTTTATCACTCACGCAAATACCTTCGGGTTCCTGAAATTCGCCGTCTCCAGTCCCTTCCTTTCCAAAGCTCTTCACAAAGTTTCCTGTCTGTACATTGAATTGCTGAATGCGGTGATTACCGTCATCAGCCACCAGAAGCTCGTCATCATTCAAAAATGTGATTCCCGCTGGTCTTTTCAGCTGCCCAGGCCTTTCTCCATGGCAGCCACATTTTCGCACAAAATTTCCATCCTTATCAAATATTAGAATACAGTGTTTTTTAATGTCACTTACAGCGATTGTTCCTTTGCTGTTGACAGTAATCCAATTTAGTTTTTTAGGAATTTCTCCCTTTAGTACCAACTCTCCCACAACATCAATCCGTCGTTCCTGCACGTAGACCCTGAGAGGACTGGTAACAAGTTTG